ACTGATATATACCATTGTGCTGTGTCCGCAAGTGTGCTAGCGTGCCACACTCACGTCTTCGATAACGAACGTCCAGTCCTTGTCCTCGAGCTCGTGCGTCCGTGGATCCTTGAACAGTGTCACAGAAACCGTGTGATTGTCAGGGACCGCCCAGCTGATGATGCCTTTGAGAGGATCGCTCAGGCATGGCTCCCAGTCTAACGGCTCCGAGCTGACTCTCCTACTACGTCTTGTCCAAACAACGCTCAGCTTGTTTGGTTTCCTGGAAAATGCCATGTATCTCTACAGATTTCTTTCCCACCGTCTGATTATCTGTATTATCATCAACATAAACACAGTTCCCTAGAACGCAACACAATGTGCGATATGCGAGAAACCGAATGCAAGACGGTAATTCGTATGATTGAAAGGTTTTTGCTCGCGGAATATTGAAGAAAAAAAATTGCATCGTCCTCTCGGAAAGTAATCGCTTCTGTTGTCAGGAAGAGACGACAATTACGCTCTTTGGACTTTGGTATAAAGGAAGAGACGTGAGTGTTAGTTTGTACTCGGAAGGGTCGCGCGCTCGCGGCCAGGAGCGTCATCGGCGTCACTCACCACTTGGTCGTCGTCTCTAGCGTGACCTCGTGGTAGGAGACGGTGAACTGGAACTTGGCGGCTCTCTTGTTGACCCGCTGCAGGCGCTTCCAGACGGAACTCATGTCTGACGGCGCGGCTCCGCTTGCTACCGCACGGGATTACCGGGATTCGTCCGCGAGGATCGCGAGCGGCCTTCACTGCTGACGCGCGAGCTGGCCGCGCTTTGTCATTTCCGCGAGTGGCACGCGCGCGAGTCGGCCCGAGGACTGACTTAAGGTCGGCCGCGGGCCGCGGCGGGGCGGGGAAACGGAAGGCGAACGATCGCGCTTCCCGGAAACCGACGACGTTGTCTCGCGTCGACGCGCGCCCTCGACGGGGCTACGATCATATGTTCGACGGACGGACAGGGCCTTCCTCTCGGCTCACGAGTGCTCTCGACGCTGCCCGAGCGGACGGACTGTCATTGTTCACGAGTGTGCGTAGCTCACACTCACGCACGCACACACAGAGACGACTGACCTCGGCTGGAAGCTCTCACCCGGGATCACTGTCGCTCCTAAATCTTCCGTCTCCTCACAGAGTCCCGACGAGGACGACAAGCCGAGCAGAAACCCCCGAGCCGAGCGCCAAAAGGTCCTCTCTCGGAAAAGAGGAGACCGTTCTTAGCCAGAGAGAAACCGCGCGCTGTAACGTCGGGAAACGCGACGCGGCGAAAGTGAGAGACAGTGATTGAGGATAAAGAGCGCGGTAGATAACGAAACTATCGCTGATGAAAGCAATGCGTTGTGCTGTAAATTGCAAGATTACGTAACTATCTTACATGGATTCTTTGCTACATGTATATCGCTTATAATACATATTTTTTCATACGCACGTAAACAGAAGACATAAAATTGGATGTTACAATGTTATACAGAAAAAACGATTCTTCGTTAATAAGAAAGTAAATGGGGAAAAAGTTGACATCAAGAGATGTTGTAGTTATCGAGAATATCGATAACGAATTCGCATATTCCCTCCGTAGCGCCAACCCTCGGTTGGCAGCAGTCGGGAATGAAAGTCAGATGTTGAAAATATTTTTTGAACAATTACAATGCGACGTTTCGACCAAGGGTTTAGGTCCTTATCAAGCACACATTCTAAAGAGAGCAAACCAATAATCGGAGTTACACGCTTAACATATAGATACAAATAAAATTATAAAATTAAAAACTAATTTTACAAAAGTAATATGTAAAATGAGACGCAATCAAATATCACGAGTACGATAAAAGATATATGGTTTGTCAGGTGGATACGTAAATAACACATTGCAAATAAATCTTGGACCAGTTACTTACCTTAAAAATTAATCGAGTCATTGTAATATGATATGTAATTAAACTTTCATTGTAATTTCTTCTGAACAAACGACGAATCTATGCACGTGAAGCTAACTTTAATTAAGACCGTTTTGACCAAAATCGTGCTTAAGACAGCTCTTATACGCTTGAGCTACGAATATTTAATTGTAATGCACTTGAAATAATCAATTGCGTCGTCTAACACGTGCAACCGGTAAGAAGTCACGGAACATTTATTATTCATAAAAAGTTTTACAATGAAACACTTGTTGAAGCGAATATTAAATTTCCGCTCCCTTCGCTTACACATATAAACAATATTTGTGTAAAAATTCTTTCAAATGCATTTACAATTCGTCCCTGTCAAAATTGAAATCTGTGTCGACATCATAATCGCTATCATCGTTGTCTTCATCGTAATCGCTGCAGATACGCGAGATTTTTGTGCAAAGTTCCTTTTCCCTGTTCTCTACACCGTCGATGAACAACGACAGTATATCGTCCTCAAATTCCTCCACTATAGCGTGGCACTGAAACCCATTAATCGAGATTAATGAAAAAGAACCTATTTGCGACGCCTTTACTTATGGCATGGCTAATTTTAAGGAAGGTAAGTTAAAAGTTAACAGTTTACACTGTAACTAAGTTAAGTTAAAATTACTTAACTTTTATCTTTTTAACTAGACAACCACCCAACCCTGAAAGTGCAACAAACGGCACTCACGTAATGCTGAAGACTCTTGTTCAAATCGCCGTCCTGAATAACGTCTACTTCGCTCATGATAGGATTCATACCACCCGACGGAGACATGAGGTTAAAGATCACCAGCTGTTTGTCAGATTTTCTCGTCGCTCTCACGTAATTCTCCAGGTTGCTGCAGATGGTCTCCAGCACGGCTGAAAGGTGCAGTTCCGATCGACCTAACGGGATCTTGCAATAACAAATCTCTATGAGAATTGAATGTACAAAACGAAAGAACAGATCTACAAGAACGTAAAAAGTATTCTTGGCCAGACAGCCAAATCTGTCGGAACAGATATCGTCAAATGCCCACTAGAGATTTTGAAGGGAGAAAGACTGCAGATTGCATACAGAAACCGATACGTTCGACATGTTGCCAGCATTTCAGCAGAAATACAACAAAGTCTGCCCATATAACTGGACCTGCTCGGTTTCTGCCGACAATCTGTTGACGGCGTACGTTTTACAGAGTCTATTGCCAAAACGAAAGCCAAATGTGGACACAGATGGCTATGGTTTTGGGGTGGATTTTTGACGAATCTGCTACCAATGTGCCGACATTGTGCTGAGTGACAAAATTAACACGAATAATCTATTTTTTCTTGACGCTCTTACCTTTTTATGTACAGTATTACCCTCTGCGTCCATCCTAAAACTGCCTACGGTGACCAATTTCTCTGGATTATGCCTGAGCACTTCGCTCTCCAATTCGTCCATAGTTGCCCTACAAACTGTCAGCGACAAAAATTATTCTTATTGACGAATTTATGTTCCTTAATTGTTAGATCGATAAGATCCGCCGTATATTAGCATTGCTCTCCTACCTAAACATTTCAAATGCTTCAGATCGACTTGTTGCAGCTCCACGTCGGCAACCATACAGAACAGGCCAAAAAGTAATAAAGTTCTCATCTGCAAGAAAGTGCGAGTTTCAAATCGTGCTGTGTATTTCGCGAGAAAGAGGGACAGAAATAGGCGTACTTACTACGCAATCTTTCACGCGCGAGTCAATTTCGAAGAGAATCTCTTTCGGATTTTCTCCGTTCGGTATCGAAAAAAATCACAATTTTTTTCAGTTATACTTTTCTACCGGAACATGCAAAGTTCCCAGCACCGTGGTATGCGACACGTGTTAAATGTATCTTCTAATCTCGCACATAACAATTCTGTTCTTTATAGCTGAACTAGCTGCACTGGCTCAGAGCTTATCTTTTTCCTTCTAATGTGGAGGAGGGAGAAAGATAAACTCCGAACCGGTACTGTCATCAGTTCAAAGGTTTGTTTACTGTTCCTGCACTGGTGAACTAGTGCAATAAATTACAGTAAGATAAGTATATTTTTTTCTCATTCTGGCTCGCTGCACCAGCTCACCAGTGCAGAAAGAGAAAACAAACCTCATCTATAAAGAACAGACCTAATGTGTAAAGCCCGCTGCAGACGATGCTATTTTTCCTGCTAGATTACTTGCGATTTAGTAAATTATTAGAAATCTTGAGTGCTGAATGGTGCAATGGTAGTAATTTATTAGATTGCAAGCAATCCAGCATGAAAAATAGCATCGTCTGCAGCGGGCTTTACGCTCCATGGGACGTCGCCCTAAAGCCTGTATCAGACTACGGAAATTTGACCAATTAGAGTAAAAGTTACTAGACTTGAGATTAGTAAACTTAACTGTGATTTGTCAAATTTCAATCTAATTCCAACGATATACTGTTTATTAATTTTATTGTTTTTTTTACAAAGATATAAAATAATGCTTAAGGTCTGTGCTATATAAAAGATAATGCAGATATACAACTTACCCTAACCTTAATATCGTCTAACTATATATCTTATATATACATATATATATAATTATTTTAAACAATTTGAAAGAATCCATTGATAATCGAAGAATGGTACTAACCATTGTCTAGGCTGTGTTCGGGGAGACGCTATTAGTACGAAAAGAGGCTTCTATCTTTCTTCAACATGTGATAAGCAACGAAGATAGACCGATACTTTCAGCGGCTCCGCGAACGCACCTTTCATCAGTCTCAAGCTTCGATTTGGCGCGAACATTGTATTAACAATTGATTAAAGGCAATCTGTTTGCCTTAGGGTCTGAGCAGAATGACTGTCTTGCATTCTTAAGTCACAAGACAGTTATTGTGCGTTACTTTAAGAACATAAAACATTGTCTTAAGAGTACAAGACAGGTTCTTCAATAAAATTTTTCACTTTTCACGAGTTCACGCTAGAGGAAAAGATTCATGATTGAGCCCCAGATTGTACAAATCTCTTACGAAAGTTACAGAAATAATCCCTCTATGAACAAATGTTGCTTGAAGTGCATTGCTAAAGATACGCAAAATAAACAATTTTCTATAATGTCATTTATATCATTCTAGAAATACTTTCGTATTTTAATCGAGATTTCTTCAATATAAAATTACAGCTACGTCCGCAATCGTCGGATAGCAGTCCGTTACATTAAAATCTCAATATTCGGCAAATTATTAGGAATGCAAAGGTCCGATTATACACGCGTGTACACATGCTACATTTGCGTTTCGAGATTTGAAATAGATAGATTGTTAAGTTTTGTCCAGATTTTAAGTGAATGCTACAAAAAAATACGAATACTTGCAACTAATATAAAAAGGCACATTTTAGGCCGGTATTCATAGTCGATTTTTATTTCCAAATTATCTTAAGGGTTGCCTTAAGATGCTGATACGGCTCTGTGATTGGTTGAAAACAAATTAAGAGTATACTTAAGATGATCCTAAATATAAGAACGGACTACCGGCCTTAGTCATAATAAAATTGATTCGAGTAGAGTTAATGATCGCGATTCCACCTCCAGATTGTCGCGTCGTCGCAGACGCACAATAGCACGGCGCCATCGCGACTCAGGCTGGTTTGTCGAATTGGCGCGGTGCAACGGGGATGCTGAAGAGACCAACAGCGCGCTTGCCCAGGCTCGTCGACGTCTAAATCCCAAACGTAAGTGCGACCGACCTGATTTCCCAGCGCGATCGTGCGCTGCCAGAAATCCATGGAGAAGCGTATGAACCAAATGTCACACTCTTTAAACTCGAAACGGTGCAAAACCGTCGCGCTCGTTTCTCCATTGCGCAGCTGCGAGTCCTCGAGTCTGCCCGGTTTCCAGCACACGATGCAATTTTCGCAGGACTTGCTCAGGATGAAGTCGCCGAACCATTTCACGCAGTCGACGTAATTCCGATGTACGTCGCGAGTGGTAAAGTCCGGGAAATGTTGGAGTATCGAGTCGAAGGGCCTGCCGTTGCGGGTGGGATTGCAGTGATAGGATTGCTTTATCGCCTCCTGCATGTCCGGCTTGTCCAAGGACCATAACTTAAGGGCGTGATCCATTCCACACGAGATAATCCTTTGGCCTCTTATGTCGAAATCGGCACTCAGAACTTCGTCCCGATGGCCCTCCACGCCGCCAAAGATTGCGATACACACGTCCGTTTTGATGTTCCACAGTCTTAGAGCGTGATCTTTCGACGCGGACAACAGGATGTTCGGGTCCCTGGGATGAATCTTGAGCTCGTTTATCGCGTGCCCGTGGCCAATATAATGCTTGATGCAGGTCATCGTCGCGGGGCTGATAACTCGGATGACACCGCGTGATCCGGCCACTGCCAACAGAGGCTTCCCGGAGTCGTCGTATGTCCATGCGCACGTGTAAAAGTTCTCCTCCGTATCTGGGTCGGCGTAACATTGTTGCAGTCGTATATTTCCACTCTGCGGACATTCGTAGATGCTTACGCGATTGCTACCAACGGAGGCGAATATCATCGGTTCATCCTCCTTCAAATGATAATTGAATTGTACGCCAAACAAGGGCTGCCCGTGATCCTCCTTGACGCTGCAACAGTACTTGTACAGCGGTTTATCCGTCGAAGGTTTGTATTTTGCCGTTTTACTCCTGCGACGACCTTTCCGTTTGTAACGGGCGCTGCGAGTGGGCGTATCGCTACGATGAGTGCCTGCGGTGGAGTTACTCCCGATGCTGCATTCCGTTACGTCGCTGTCATTTTCGCTGTCCTCCTGACTAGAAGCGTATGCCTTACCACTCGATTTTTTCATCTTGATGCTGGTTTTAATTATCTAAACAATATTAACCATTAGTAGCGGGTCAACACAATCCAACATTTTGTATTTTGAGAGAAAATATCACTTAAGTTACCAACAAATCACCCTGCGTCGCACCTCGCTATCTCGGTTTCCTAATTGTACTATGTGACAATCCCAATAACTGGTATACCGCTGTTCAATCCCAGTATTCCTTCTGTTACATTTAGAATTCTGCTTCCTAAAGAAACACAAGCTTGTGTTTTCTGGAATGAAAAATATATTTTAAAACATATAGCGTAAGCTAAGCAAACAAATAAACAAACGAAAAGATACCAGTTTAAATCCAACTAAGAACACCGTTAAGCCTGTATCAGACTATGAATTGAAATTGAGATTAGGGCCGGTATTCATCAGTCAGATCTTATATTCAAGACCGACAAGATCTTAAGATCATCTTTGGATACTCCGTAGCCAAAGTTTCGTACAGCGTCTTTCGATAAACTCAAGACAGTCTTGAATATAAAATAAGAGAAAAATTTATGATACACCTTTAGAACGTAAACTTACAGAAACGTTAGCGGAGAGGAAACGAATATTGTACTTGTGACAAAGTTTCTTCGACTTATGGATCAATCCCATAACATTAAATATCCCATTGCAATTCACTAGGCAGGCTGCACCAGAGAGTACGTAGTATTCATCTATCCTGGCTATGTTAGCTTCTACCTTCAGAATTATTTTGGCGATTTATTAGTAAAACAATGGAAAGCTATTTAATATTGTATTAAAAGTTATTTACACAGAAGGGCTTACTTCTGACAAGGTGTGCGAGGCTCTCGAGTCGAAAGCAAAAATGATAAAATCCACAGAGATATCTGTCCTCGCTTTTACCACGTCGGCGACAGATTCACACTGATGTACAGATATGTACCACTTCCTTTCTCTTGCACTTTGATACAAGCCTTCAGATATATTTTTGCATAGTTCAGCCGATCCTACTATCTGGAATAGATAAATAGATTTGGTTGCAAGATTTGCACATCAAATGCCGCTAATATATATAAGAAATGTTCGGTAATCCGTGACATAAACCTCAAGGTAATATTTTTCATCTGCAAATCTTTTACTTATTTTTTTGCACAATTATCTTTATTACAATTATAGAATTTAGAGCATGTTGTATTAACTAAAGGAAAGTGCCCTATTATGAAATAGGCTCCTAATATAAAACAGCGGAGTTTCTGCTAAATGAATAGGCATCGTTGGTTCCACCATGAATTTATTGCCCTTAGAGTGACACCTGTTTAGTGGAAAATTCATTGTTAGACCGTGTAATTGTCGCGAAAAAAAATTGTAATTGAATTTAGACGTTGAAAACCTGCTATCTCACATTAGAAGCCTACCTCATAATCGACAACTTTCATCAACATGTACATGAACTTGAAACACATGTATTTGACAATGATCCAAGGTTCATGTACACCGCGTTATAGCCAGACACGTAAAAAAATCGAATTAACAAGAAGCTACGTGTGCTCGCTTCTCGTTAATTACAATTAACGAAAGACAAGAGATAATTTAATCTCGTTTTCTCGTGGAAAGCCTGACACGAGGTGAAAATAAAGCCAACACTTCAACGAACAAGAGCGGTGATACTCCTTTTTTCCTAAAAAAAAAAAATACGCAAGACATGCGGGATAGCGAAGCTCTCGTTTTTCTTTTTACCACCAGACGCACCATAAAAGCAATTAAACACTCGCCTCTCCGAACTGTACCGCTCTTAAAGATCTCAGCCATGGCTGTTTTAACGGTGTACGTTTTCCAGCCGCCCAGCATCGCCAGCTGCAAGATGGAGGGACAATCTCGCGCGTGCGCAGTAGGGAAAAACCATAGCAGTCGACACCCTCGAGGATTACAAGTACCAGAGGAGCCGTCGTCAAACAGAGGGAAGAGAAAACGGAGCTTACGGAAGTCGACCGTGATTGGAGGACACCACGGTGCCTCGCTTGATCTGACTGGTCCGCCGTCGGATCATGAATGCGATATATGATAGTCTTCGATAGCATCGTTAAAAAAGCGTTTACGTCACGAGATAATCCACCTTGCGCCGCACTAATGCGTTTCCGCGACAGGAAATCCCGATTGTCGGTGAATTCGACTTGCGGCGTGTAGCGTGCTTTTCTATGGAAAATAACGTGAAAGAATTTTACTCTCCTTATCAGCATGAAGCCACGTCTGCCAAGAGTCATTCGGTCCTCGATCTGATATACACGTTTGTGTGTGACAGCTGAAACGAATTTTACCTCGTACACTCCGAGACAATGTCGAGTGACAGTTGGAAGCTAAACTGTGTTCTGGGTACCGGAGGCTTCGGAACCGTCGAGCTTTGGATAAACGTTCAAAGTGGCGAAAAGATTGGTAATCCTTCAGCATTATTATAAATAACATTACGTAAAAATAACACGCGTATCTTATTTCGATGAATTCTCTGAGAGAGAAGTCACACGCACACCAACTTGTACCGCGCTGTGCAATAAATTGAGAAATACATGTGTATGTAGAAATAATGAAATTGTTAATTGTGGTTTCAGCAATAAAAAAATGTAAATGGAGTTACTCGCAGCTAACGCCAATACAACAAAAGAGATGGGCCAACGAAGTTGAGATAATGAGGCGCTTGAAACATCCAAACATTGTAAGAACAGGATGCGTTCCGTTCAAGCTGCCAAACGTAGAGGAGAATCTGCCGATGCTCTGTATGGAATATTGCAGAAAAGGAGATTTGAGAAAAGTTGTCTTTTTATTTTTGTTTAAGACGATCTTTATGAACTGTTCCATTGGTGGTACCAAGTAATTACGTTTCTTTGCTCGCAGATTTTAAATCGACCAGAAAATTGTTGCGGAATCAGTGAAACGGAAGCGATCAAAGTAATGAGTGAGATCTCGTCAGCCGTGAGCTATTTGCATTCGCATAACATAACTCATCGAGATTTAAAGCCAGAGAATATAGTTTTACAGGATAAACAGAATGTGGTAAGATGTAAATGAGAAAGTGATTTGTATTAACGGCTTGTGTTGTAGTAATTCAATTAAATAATATATTAACTGTAATACATTACAGATCTCGTATAAATTAATAGATCTCGGATATGCCAAAGAGCTTGGAGAGGCAAGCACGACCGCCTCTTTAGTTGGCACGCTAAATTATGTCGCTCCGGAGCTCCTCTGGGGAAAAAAATATAGTTGCTCTGTCGACTACTGGAGCTTAGGAATATTATTTTATGAACTTGTAACTGGAACGAGGCCATTTTTACCAACAATGCAACATACGATGCAATGGTAAAAAGTGAAAAATGTAATGGAATATATTTGTTTTAAAAAAATGACAAGCTCTAAACTTAATGTGATTCTGCAGGATGAAATACATAAAAAATAAGAGTTATGATGACATTCATGCTTACGAGTCAGAAGGGGAAGTCATTTTTGGGACAGACATTCAAAATCCAACTCATTTATCAGAGTAAGAATATATCATTTTCTTATGAACACAATATGTATAGATATTAAGTGTTGAAGTGTTCTATTTTTTTTGTAGAAAGCAAGAGTAAAATTTTTGTTTGATAATTTTTGCATATCCTGAAGGATATAATATTCCCTGTTTCAGTTGCCTCCAAAACAAAATGGTCCACTGGTTCAGGCTGGTTTTACAATGGGATCCACATAAAAGAGGTAAAATGCTTGATAAATTTGGTACACCCCATTCAGTAGTATTTACAATGTTACAGCATGCATTAGCAAACAAGGTATGTATAAAAGCTAAGTATATTTTACTCTTTTCGTGTTTCCTGTTTAATTTGTGTTTTTCATGTATAGATACTATACGTCTTCTGTCTGCCACTTTACAAAATTAATGCGTACGAAGTTAATAGTACTACTACTCTCGGGGATCTTCAATCGTTGATAGAAAGAGATACTGATATTGAAGTCAAGCACCAAGTGTTAACTGACTACAAAGGTGCAATACTGATTGAAAATACTGCGTCACTTGCGTCACAAAGTAATGTATGTGTATTCAACTTGTTAAGTATCATAAGGTAAAAGTTTCTTTAATTTCTTATAATTTGGCTTGCAGGATCACGTTTTCTTTCTCTTTAGAAATGGCTGTTGTTTGATAAAAGATGTACCGAAATTAACTATTCCTACCGCAGTTCAGAAAATGATAGCACAATCAAGAAATGAATTAAATTATGAAACAGTAAAAGATTATTATCGCAATACAATACATTTTATGAGGAAAGAGGTGTATTTATTTCACTTATACATTTTTGCGCTTAATATAAACATGTAAGTTTTTCATACACTATTGATTGCTACAAAATTGTAAAATTGTAGTGTTAGATAATATTTCGCATATTTCAGAGACTTGCTACATCAAAAAATCGACAGATTTAATACAAGCATGGCAGAGACACTGGAAAGTACAAAGAATCTTACAGAACAAGTGCATACAAGTCGTACGAAATATATAAACATAACGGATGTAGATGCAACTAATACAAGAAAAGTACACATTCTTTTTGACAAAGTTGATAAATTGGCTAGTACAGCCGATCAAATACAGATGAAGTTTATGTCTCTAAAAGAAGACAATGATAGATTGAGAGATCAAGCTCAAGCTATTGATTATATAGGAAATTTATCGAAGCTGTAAGTATGTGTTACTGGTGATTATTATAATAAAATATAAACATTTTAATATTCTCTCTTATATTACTTTTATAGGTCTGATAAGATATGTGACATATATCTAAAATTTAAGAAAGAGAATCCACATAAAACAGCAAAACCACTGGAAATGTCGAAATTAGTGTTTGCATTTGTGAATGCGCGTGAGACGCAACTTCATGATAAAAATATAACTGATATTGCAAGGTATTAAACATTTATTTAGGAATAGTTGTAAATACAGCTCATATACTTTCAATATATATTTTAAACAGGCAGATAGATAAATTGCAAGATAAACTGTCAATACTAGAAAAGGGATTTATTTCTGTTACTGCCTTGACAAAATCATATTGGGAGGAACATCAAACAATCGCACTATCGGATACTAACAGTGTCTCTGAATCTAGCAACCATCAATCCTTAAATATCTTTACCACCGAATTAGACTTCCAATCAGAGGACAATGTGATATATGATAATTTGGTCATGCGCTACAGGTACGTCTACTTTTCTTATAATATTATTCAAATTTTCTTACAATATTATTCAATCTATCGTTTTAGGTTGGACAATTTGATGACTCAAATACAGAAAAAATATGTTGAAGTGGTTAAATTAGACCCGTGATCGAAGACACCACGCAAATATAACATTCATGTTATGAAATGATCTAGCATACGAAGCATTTTAACTTCCATTTTTTTATACATTTCAATCCTTGAAGTCTGTTTATGTAAATGTGCGTGGAACATAATGCCGTACACCCCACTTAATATTAGCGTGTTTATCAGTTTTAACAAACGTATAAACAGGTTTGTTGAACAGTTGCTCCAATTTTCTTGCTTGATACGTGTCGCTCTGACCTGTTCAGAAAAGTTTGTATAAAGTATTTTTGTAATTTTAATAATTTTTATGAAAAGAGACTGACTTTACAATTATCTTACGTACGCGCAGTATATATAAAAAAAATAATTTGTATAAACACATTTTAGAAAGATAAGAAAGTAGTTTTTTTAAATATCAAAAGGTCGATAGATTAAATATAAACATTCTTATTTGGCTCAATACACAATTTAAATAAAAATGTGAACTTGTATGTGCAGTATAATTTTGTTAATTTGATTTTGAGATTTATTGTTTCTTAAACAATAACTTACCTTTTTCAAACGCAACAACCATATTTAGGGAAAGGTAGAGTATAAAATAGATTTTTAATATCTGAAATAGTTGTGATATTAAATGTAAGCAACGAATATATCCATGGTATGAAAAATGTGATATGTACTCACTTGCATTGCACGAAATATTACACTTATTATTCTCATCGTTAACGTATATCAGATATCTATCTAGTTGTCGATATTCTTCCAGACTGTCTTTGCGATAGATCAGCGAGTACTTAAAATTTGTCGAGTCTACGATAAAAAGTGCAACGGTTGAGTGATCTTTTGTATGCTCTGTATGTGTGTGTAGCTTAAATATCTTTTACCACTTTCGCTAACCCAGATTCTACGATACCTATTACTTTTGTAGTCGTTGAACATGAAGAATACGGTCGCTCAACGATTTTAACAAGAGTATTTTATTGTAATATGGATAGGTACAATATTTTGTACTGATATATTTTATTAGAAAACTGTATACAGATCTCAATTGAGAATTGAACAACGATGTTAAAATAAATATTATGTTCTTTATTCACTATTACTTTCTCCACACTGACAAATCTTACACACCAGACTATTTTCCTAGATTGTCCACATACATCAACGATTATGCAATTCCACGTATAAAAGTCCATTGTACATTAACTTGAGAAGTAAAAAAAGAGGAAAATGCGGACTTTTAGAATATCTATTCCGATCACGTGTGAGAAACAGATATTATTCATTGTCACTAATGTCCTCGTCGGTTGTGAATTCGGAATGTTCGTCAGCTGCATCCACATCTTCCGCAGTTTCTTCGTCCGAGATGTCCCATTGCGGATGTTCAGTCGGTACTTCTGGCGCCTCCTTCACGTCCAACTGTAAAGCATGTCGTATCGTTGCAAATACAAGTAAGATAAGAAACGAGGCTTTTTGCCGGGCTACTTGAATTGTTTTATCACTCACTTTAATGTCTTGAGCTTGATCAAAGCCCAGATACGAATCGCTACGTAGACACACGGTGAATGTATAAAGGCCTGGCCAGCGTGGTGCCGTGAATCTTAATTGAATCTCCTCAAATTGTGCTAAGGATGTGACGTGTATAGGGGTTGTTAACAGCGTTTGACTTTTGCGATCACAGATATAGACCCACCAATACTCTTGCTTAACATCGGGAAAGAGCGGACTGTGCACTTCATGTGACAAATTACTCCTTCCCTCTAGCACTCTCTCCCGCTTGGAAATTCTCTGTTGGAATCTGAAAGAGAATGAAATGTTAAGTTCTGTTTAATATACGACGTAAAAAATAAGTATAACATATTCGGCTTACTTTTCCCACTCGGTATCGTCGTCATCGAGAGACGCGTCCTTTTTGTCGTGACTGTCCTCGTCGTCGCTTCGATCGCTCTCGGCTTCACTGTCACTGACGTCCGATAATTTCTCCTTGGAAGACTCTTTCTCCATCTTATCGTCCTTCTTTCTCGCATTAGGGGTATTGCTGTGCTGAGTATTGTTAGCCACAACTTGAGACTGTGCCTGCGTATTTTTAGCTGGCGCTAACTTTTTGTTAGTACCCTTTTTATGCGACTTCTTTTGGCCCTTCTTTTGCTTGAGCCATGCCGGCTTTGCGGTTTTCGCCGATTGATTTTGTTCCTCTGAGGCTTCTTCAATCTCACCGCCGGTTTTGTTATCATCGATCATCGTTTGTTCGTTAATAGAATCATCTCCAAAGAGATGCTTCATATTTTTTCGCGTGAGCGATACCGTTACCGTTACAATAGCACCAGCAGTATATACGGTAGGATTCTCATCATCGATTACTACAATAATATAAAGAATATAATACCACAAATTACGCTGCTCTAACATTTTACAAAAATTAAGGAAAATAATTGATATAAACATTCAATTACCTTCGGATCGTACTTTGAAATCAATGTACGGCATATTTCCAAGAACCTTCATAACGTCTTCGTACTGACTGTCTGACAGATTTCTAAGTATCAGTCTTCGCTCCTCTCCCTTTAATTGTGCAAATTGTTGAAGACTTTTGATTTGACGCTAAGGAAAAGCCACAATGTTGTTACGTCGTTAAGTGATCTTCATAAAAAAAAATAACAAAAGCATCATCGCGACGGTCGTTAATACCTTCTTCGCGTGGAAGTATTTTAAATTGTCCTCCGTTATGTGTGGCAATTGAAGGAGAGGATTTTTAAACTCCCAGAATCCTTGAACGATCATTGGACACAATTTCATACAGTTCTCTATAGTCATTATGGTTGGTACTCGCGGTACTAGAAAAAAAATCCATTGAATGTTCATTTTGTGTATACAATGTGTGTTACAAAGTTATATTGAGGATAAAAATACTTACCTCTTCTGGCGTAAGCTAAAAGTATAACTTGATGAACACAAGCAACCATTTCTTGAATCAAATATGGACATTTCTTTACTATATACTGTCTATCTCTGTCCAATGTCTCAGGATTGAGTGGTATACGAGATAAATGCGCATGCAGTAGTGCTCTAGCTTTAATTGAATACAAGTGGCATAACGGCACCTCCTTGTTTTTCTCTCCCAAGTTAGGTAGTTGTTTGATAAGCTGAAATATGCAGAAATATATATAGTAAAATTGTTATTCATCCCTAAAGGCCTGTGTCCACGATGCTAGAGCTTGGACACGGGCCTTGAGAAAGATTAGGAAATCATGAAAGTGATTACCGAAGGAACTTCTTCGCTATCAGAATGTCTCTCGACTATCTCTGCGTTACGTTTCTTGAAGAATTCGAAGGAAGCAGCGAGTATCATGATGACTCTCTTCAACGACATAGACGGCGTTTTAACGAAGAAAAAGTAGTACATCTCGGTCGTTGTCAGGAGAACCTAGAGATAAAAGTATATGTAAGAGCTGGTAATTTACCACGAGTGAAAATTTGGCATACAAATGCCAATTACTTGATCACCAGTGTAGCGAATACTCTTGTACCACCACATTCCTACAACCGTCGGTAAAGCAACCATGAACACTAATCCGTACAGTCCTAAAACCCATACTGAATTTTCTTTCTCAACGATCCAGGAAGGCAAAGCTATACCAAAGCTCATTGCCCCTGGACCATCCGGATTTCCGTATTTTTCCCAGTTTTTTCGCGCTTCGTCGTCCGTTAAAGCTTGGTAAGCTATTTGTGTTAATAAAAACAAAACAACCGTTAGTTTTTATCAAAATTCAGGGCATTAGTGGTAGCAACTTAATTCCCGAATAATCTTAAAAACTCAATATCACATAATTTTTAACTGTTATAGGATTAATTTCGAGTTTGGAGACTCTAACGATCTTTGTTGCCCGTTTCTGTGCTACATTACCATCGTGTGCAACGTGTTAAAAATTTATTAATTATATTTACACCGTACAGATCGGCGCGGACAGTTGCTCCTTACCTTTAGTTAATTTCATAAAAGCTTTCTCATTTCCCGTCTCCTTATCGGGATGGAGAATCAAGGAGAGCTTACGGTAAGCTTTTTTAATCTCACCTTGGGAAGAACCCTGCAATCGGGACGTGGGCATTCATTTCTGTTACGCAACGAAGCTAACGGTGCATGTAGAAATTCCATTTTATACTCACAGGTGGTATACTTAGTATTTCGTACGGATCGAAGTTTGCCATTTCATAATCAAATTGGGACACCTTGTAAGCTAGGAATATCAAGATAACCCATCCCATAATGATTAGAAATTTCCTGTAACATAAGAGGAGCAACTAACTTTTAGCTTTGTAACCATTTTTACGATGCATAAACATATTCCGTGTTACATTGCACATATAAGACCTAACAAAATCTCCAAAAGTGACGTGCAACAACTTACACAAATAAAGCCTTGGTTTCCTTCCAAGGCTTGTTCGCCTGAAGAATAATCTTTTTCTTTTTGCACCCATCGCATTGGCACTCTTTGGTTAACTGGTCAGGATCTGAAGAAAATTTGAATTAATATTATTCCTACAATCTTTACATTTTGCCTGCTCGTCGCTCAAACGATACGCCACGAGATTTTCGTACAAATGTCGACCCGAGACACAGGATAAGTGTGCCTTGAACTTGTGTGGTCTGAGGAATCGTAATGTGTCCACGTACGACTTGAAGCTACCTAATTTTCTAAAGACACCGGGATTGTAGAATCGAACAAACGGCCGGACAATTCGCTCGGGCAAGTTTATCCTCGCGGTTCTGGGCGAGTTCGGCGCTGCGCTGCCGCGAAAGATCGGAGCAAGGTGGAGCGCGGCGTGAATCGAGATTGTAAACGGCACTCGTCGCGCTCGTGTAGATCATTACCGCGCCCGAGCGTAAATTGCACGTTAACGTGTAAATTAGAGCGCGCACCGAGGCTTGTTTACGGTCAATCCTTAAATCGAAGGGTCGCCTCGAACGCTTTTACGAATTACCTCTCAGCCAGTAAAATGATCTAGCATTCGTACGGATCGCTCTTTTGGCCAAGTCATTTTTCGACATGCACTCGCGACGGCCGTAAATACAAGAGTAGACTCGTGAACGAGCCTTGGCGCGCTAGCTGCGGAATTCGCTGTTATTTACAGAATTTACCCCGATCCTCCTGCGTCTCTCTCTCTCTTTCTAACCTTGCTTCGGGCAACGTGGCCAGAGGTAGTAAGTCCCGGGTACCAGCAGTAGCGCCAAGAACGAGAGCAGAAAGTAAAAGAAGGTCCCTCCGCTCTCGTCATACTGAAACTTCTGTCCACTCATCGCTCATTAAGTACTGCGGCGTTGTTTTAAGTAGACCGTATAAGTACATTCATTCGTAACATTATCCGGGCTCGCGCGGGCTGCGGGACTCACGGACGTGCCGTACGACATGCAAATCAACAGTTAGCGGGACTGCCCTGTCAAGACTGCCAACTCAGCACCGCGCGCGCCTCAGCCGCACTCCAGTGCTCCACGACTCGACGCTCCACGGCGCCCCACGGCGCGTCAGCCGGCTACCGTGCCGTGCCGTGCCGTACCCGTGTGACTTCCGTCACTCGTCGTCCCGACACTCCGCGCGCACTATCGACTCTGACGCGCGACACCACTGACGACACTGACGACACTCACGGCGATCGTCGACGACGAGGATCCTCCCTTACGGAAATGCAAGCCAAATAATTACCCAGTGAGAAACGACGTCGACGATGTCGAATTCCACGTCAATTCCCTCCAGATAGCACACGCAGTTCTATGAATGTTCTTCTCAAGTGCAAATTAATGTTCTTCATTTCGGAATATCCCAATCGAATGTTCTACAAATATATACAGATTGTTACAGTCCCATACAGCACCAAAGCTTTCGGAAACATTTCAGAAACATTGCGACATCGCAACAATGTTCTCTGCAACAAAGCTTTCAGAAACATTTCGGAGAACATTGTTGCAATGTTTCTGAAATGTTTCTGAAAGCTTCGGTGCTGTATGGGATTAGTCGTATATTCGTAACAAAGAAGAAGATTTTTCTAATATTCGTCGGGAATGTCTTTGGAATATTCGTTCAGAATAATTTTTGAATAATCATCGAGTTGATGTATTGCACATTGTTTATTGTGTAATACACTTGTCTTAAGGTGCCATTTCATAGAGCGAAGAAAATGGGCTGGCGCCCACTCTACCGATTTTCGCCAAAGTAACCACGTATAAGTGAAATTTAAGCACATGTATGAAATGTTATGGATGAACTGGTTTACAAATTTGTGACTAAAAATACCAGATTCAATTAAATTTTTTATTATATTCCTGTATTTTTGATGAAACCAAAGGAAAAAGTGTAAATTTTATGTAAAAACTCATGAAAACCCAGGCAAATTTACCAAGAAATAAGTAAAATTCCTTTGTAAATTGATTTCTATCAATATACATAGCGCTCGATCGTGAATCTTTTCCTCTAGCGTGAATTCGTCGAGTGCTGTTTTTGTTTCCAGTCATTACGTCCCAGATAGCAATGTACGTCATAAAGATATCCTTAAGGCCACTTTTACACGCGCATGTCTAAAAGATAACTTAATGCCGTCTTAAAGATGACTTACAATTAGACACGAATGCTATCTGGGATTTCTGCAAGGGCCGTCGCCGCCCGCGGGAGGAGCCAGAGTGCGAGAAATGGCGCGGAGGTCCAATTGACGAGAGAAAAAAAAGGGAGAGACGTGCGTCGCTCGCGACCTACGGTGACCCACGAACGGCCGATAAGAAACGAACGAGACTCTCTTGATTGCGCTTGATTTGTATCCCCCTTTCGCGTTTCGTACGTGTCAGCAGCGTGCAGTTAGAACGAACGTATACACGCGCCAGGGGCTTTTTTTTTACGTTTCCCGCATTTGCGCGAAACGAGCAGGGAGTGCAGGGACACGGGATTGCGAGGGAGAGAGAAATCGAGCCAAACTTTTTGTGCGTTGACGAGTCCACGCGTGTATTCTGACGCAACCGTTTCGGACTCTTCGAGCCGCGCTCGAAATAAATCAGATAACGTATCTTTTTGGACTTTGTGGCGAGAGAGCACGACATGTTGAGTGCAACGAGAGGAAAGATCGAGTGCACATAGCGGGAGACTCCCGTGTTTTGCCGCCGCTGAGTAACGGGTTTTTTTTCCCCATACGGTTTTTTAATATCGTCGACGAGCCTGACGCTGCAGCCGCGCGGTGCGTGAAGAAGGAGGAAACCACGAGCCTCGCGTCGCACGCCGTGAAATTCGCCTGATTTGGAGCGAGAAGGAGGGAGGGGGGCAGAAGTATCCTAATGTAGAGCAATAAATCCCCATCCGGTTGTTTCACGAAGACTTGCCCGTCCGCGAGTACAGCACTTCTGGGAGCGAGCAAGCTCTGATTAATCCGTCAATCGATAATCAAAGCTGCCTTCCTTTTAGAGAACACACAGTCGACGTTTTTCAATACAAATCGACACGTGTCAACTCGCTCTCCATTTAGAATTTGCATTCAAACTCAATCGACACCTTTCGACTCCCGCTCACGGGAGGAGAGTGTTAAATTTTTGACCGAAGGCCGCATCCGCTCCGAGCATTTCGAGAGAACCTTTTGTAAGCTATATGTAAACCTTAGACCTCCGCGAAATAGGGCGTAAAATCAAATAAGGTAGACTCTTTAATTTGTTGCAGGGATTCAAAATCTTTAATATTGCGCACGGTACAGTTCAATGTGAACTTGGTCAAAGTACACAATACCTACTAACTTGATCCAATTGTCCGTCAATTATAAAACTAGTTGGCCAAAGTAAGCGCAAGACGTAATAATCGCAAGCCAATATACCGCTCTCAAGCCCCTAGCAGCCAAAAAGTCAAATTCACAGGCAGTCCCTCGCCTTCCAACGCACCCAACACCAAGTCTCTGTTTTATTACTACTCTCTGTAATGGCTCGCAACGAACTCTCTGTTTTCTCATGTTTCTCGCAAGCCTTTTATTTGTATTTCACGCATGACCCCGCGCAAACACCAACTGTCTAAAATCCCCCTGTTGGCCCACGTCGTATTACCTATTTCTATTTTATAGATTATAGCTATCGGAAACTGTACTTTGCCCCTTACACTTTTCTAAAACGAGAAATGATTCATCGAAACGATGTCGATTCGATATTGAAAGGATACACTTTTTGTACCCCCCCCCCCCAAAAAAAAGAGCCCCAGAACTGGTAACATAATACTTTTGCATTTTTATGAGAATGTTTTTACGACTCCCTGGCGAATATGTTAAGCGAGAGATGACATTTATATTTATTTATGACGAGTTTTGTCGATAGTTACATTATTTATGAAGAGTTTTATCGATGCGTTACGCCGTTTGAAAGTACGTTGCAAACACCTGGTTGATTCTTTACCGACAACATTTTGCAAACGCTTAGAAAACTATACTGGAAACGTTTGACGTTGTATCATTAAACGCAATTTCAACATTTCAAATTCAAGTAAAACATTGACTCGACATTTAAACAAACTTCTTATAAACTTTTGATAAACATATTTTCGCCAGGGCTAACGTAAAACTGATCGAGTATACATTCGAATATTGGAAGGAAAAGAACAAGTTGGGGGAGACTTGTCAATTGTAACGAAGCAATTGTCCACGTTTAACTTTCTTCTAAAAGTTGAAACGCTTGGAAGTCACCGGCAAACGACTCGCAAGTAAACCTGCGGGAGCAAAAAGTTACAAACAATATGTTCGCGCCCGAGGAGAAGCTCGCTAGGCGGCGGCGGAACAATGGCTTGTTTTATCGCAAAAACTGAATCACCGTGCGTACGCACGCTTTGTTTGGCAGTCGCGTCATTCGAGAGCATCGGTTATCGTCGATCTCGCGTGGCAACACAACCCCCTTTTATCGAGCGCACCGATATTCTTTCTTTCGCGCGGCTATTTAACTACGGCCGCGGCGCGACGTGACAGCCGCGGCGCACCGTGTCGAGCGGATATCAGTCGACCGAATCCACGTCCGCGAGGTGACGGCAGTCGCGCGCGAGTTGACGCCGTGCACGGACAGCACTGCCGACGCATGATTCTCTCGGACGAGAAGAGTCGCGGCGCGGTGGCACGCACGTCGGACGCGGAAAGATGTGCCGATAAGACAGCCACGACGACTCGACGGTGTGCCGCGGTTCTTCCTCAGGTGGGCATTCGCGCCGTCAAGTCCGTAGGTTAAGTTGGCGCTCTCGCCCTCGTGGAAGCCGCCGCCGGACAGCTCGCGTTATCTCTCGTTGTCGTGGGCATTGCGTGGCGACGATGTCGACACGAGTTGCGATTAGAGGAGAAGCGCGGCCGACGTGCCACAAGGTCACCCACTTGGCAGGCCAACTCCCGTTCCCGGTTTCTAACGGTACGTTTTCTAACGCGCGCGCTCGCTCGTCTGTTACGCAGGTTAGATGCGAGCCGACGACGGCGACGACGACGACGCCGACGACGCCGACGACGGCGCGACCATGTCCCTAAGAAACGTGATCGAGTGGACGTGCTCCGACGTGAAAGCGTGGCTCGTCGACAACGGCCACGAGGAGTACGCGGACCTGTTTTACTCGCACGAGATCGACGGCAAGGTGCTCCTCACGCTCAAGGAGGACGACTTGAAATCTAGTATTTTAAACATAAGGAAGATCGGTGCTATAAAGAAGCTGTATCTAGCCATAAAGCAGCTGCAGAGGGACAATGTCGCCGGTCTGTTCGACCTGGGATACGTCGACTTGTTCCCTTCGACAAATTTTTATACTCATCAAAACAAGCACGAGGTAAAGCGGCGTACGGTTCTACGAGCCGCGAAGGGTACAAATGTCGCTCCACACTTGACGCAATTTGCTTTCAGATGCCCAGTACTGGTACGAATAACGAAACGTCTATCGAGAACGAATTCTATTCGGCCTCGGTGTCGGAGGACGGACACGCCTCTCACTTACCACCCGAAATCTGGAAGACGGTCCTCAGTTTGGGATATTTATTTATCGTCACGTGGATTACTGCCTTTGTGATGGTTATCGTTCACGACAGAGTGCCTGATATGAAGAAGTATCCTCCATTGCCAGACATATTTTTAGACAACGTACCTCATATTCCTTGGGCGTTTGATATGTGCGAAGTTACCGGTACACTGCTTTTTGCGATATGGCTCCTTGTGCTTATATTTCACAAGTATAGGTAAGGAACGAGGAACCCCCTTAAATAAATGTGGCGATGGACAAGGTGATTCTCGTCAGGGCGAATAATCTATTAAATATGGAACAGATTTATTTTGTTACGGAGGTTTTTTGCACTGTCGGGTACAGTCTTCCTGCTGAGATGCGTGACGATGCTTATCACTTCTTTGTCAGTGCCGGGTGCGCATCTGCAATGCCAACCACGGAAAGTCCCGGACGAGGATTGGTCAAAGTGAGATACATGTATAATACGTTACAAGATATGAATCATCCTTTCTACGTGAATGCAAATAATATATATATATATACATACATGTGTTATTTTAGTTCTGCGTACGTCGAGCTGTACAATAAAATAGCAATGGCTTACGTTATTTGGCGAGGTGCCGGCATGTCTATTCAAGGTGTCAGGACTTGCGGGGATTACATGTTTAGCGGGCACACGGTGGCGTTAACTATGCTTAATTTTTTCATTACAGAGTGTAAGTAACAATGTGCGTTATTTCAGTCGAAGCGGTCGATTTAGATACTTACGGGAGGCTCTTTTCCTCGTTACAGATACCCCGAGACACTTGTACTTTCTGCATACTTTTACATGGATGCTTAACATGTTTGGTATCTTTTTCATCCTGGCGGCGCACGAGCATTATTCCATCGACGTTTTCGTCGCATTTTATATAACCTCGCGATTGTTTCTTTACTATCACACGCTGGCGAATAATCAAGCACTGATGCAGCGCGATTCGATCAGAACCAGAATCTGGTTTCCATTGTTTAGCTTCTTCGAGTCGTCCGTTGATGGTATTGTTCCTAATGAGTTCGAATCGCCGTCCTTGATAGTTTGCAATTTAGCAGGCACGGGAAAGAACATTTGGCAGTGCGTACGGTCTCGGATCTCTTTCCGAAAAGCGCAGCGCAACATAAACGGCAGTTTAAGCAGCACAAAAAAGGAATACTAACGTAAACCGGTACATATTTTATCTTTTTCTTTAATTACTATATTGTACTACTTTGTACTTTTAAATGTGCGATGTAGGGAGCGTGTTATTGATGTTTCAATTCCAATTACATGTAACGCGTAAAGATACATATGACAATAGATCTGAACGTTTACACAAAGAGGGAAAAAGGAGACGACAGAATAACGTTTCTCGCTAGTGGATCTTACATCTAGAAATGTAAGATACACGAGTTTCCAAGAAATAAAAGTCACCCTATATCGTACATTTATCTTTTCAGGGCGTTGACTGTTTATTTGACAAATCTGTTTATACGTTGGAATAATGTTGAAGAAGATGTAATATTAATACTAAATATTTATTTTTACGTGATAGGATTATAGCGATACCGAAAGAGATTGAGATAATTTATGATACAATTGATCAATACTAGTTGACTTTGCTATCACAGAGAAATAGTATAATTTATTCGTTAAGAAATCTTTCCAAAGACAAAGCTTAGCGTATAAAGTACTTTACTAATTTAGCATGCATTTTCCAAGCATGTTGCATCGTCTGAGACTCTCTTTTTTTTTTTTAAACTGTGTGTGTATATATATGTATCTTACAATTAATATGATGATCTTTATATATGCATATTAATACGCATACGTATATATACATATATATTTATATTAGCCACGTAACTTGCTCATACGTACTTTTGTTTTCTTTTTGTGATACAAGGAGAAAGCTGTGTCAAGAGCTATATTGCGACGGCCTGCAGGGGTGTTAGAATTTATCAGGAATGTTTAATGATTTTCAGTGGCTACCGAGTTTAATAATAATGGTATTTTAGAATTTCTAGATTAGATACATCTTTGAAGACATATTTCCGTTTGCTAACGGTGGAACGCAACATTTTAAGAGTAAATGTATGTTATATACAATATATATATATATACTATCATGCATTCCTGATATTTGATAAAATTAATAATTTAAGACTCCTGTTTACTCATGTTGCAACTCCATATTGAAATCATGTAATTTTTTTCTCGCGCTATACGTACAAATCGAATATTTCATATACCGCTACGTATGTTTGACATATTGATTGTCATAAAAAGTACTGATTCTCTTTTCGGTTTAGGGAATATTAGTTAATTAAGCGTAAATCTTGGTCAATTATCTTAAGATCTGTTCTTTTGCTAGAAATATGAAATGTACATACATACTTGTGTTAATAAAAAGAGGGATAATTTTTCATGAAGAAAAGAAAAAGATAATTTACATGCTTTTAATATGGTTACGGTGAGAAAACGAGAGACACATTGAGAGGTGTGGTATTAAACAGAGGCTGAAAATGCTGTTATTGTGACTTCTAATGTAAATTCATGCGTAAAATATCTGTATGATACGATTGTACGAATAGCTTCTATTCGTCACATAGAAGCTGTTGCCAACAGTATACTATAATAGCTTTTTAATATTTCATCCATATCTATTTTTTACTTATGTGATAAATAACTTAATCTTGTTGGCGTTAACGAGTACCGATTATTGGTGACTTGTTGATGGTGCCTGATTGTTGGTGTTTATTACTTTATATACTTCCAAAACTATGCAGTGTATGTAAACTTTCTCTCTCTCATGCTAATGTCGACCAATATACCGACTGTTCTCGGAAGAGACAGTCGGATTGATTTGCAGACGATTGAGAAAACTAGCACTAATAAAAGACGTCAATATTTCAGTAAGATGTAATTTTATTCTACCGTTCATTAGTCATTCATTCCCTTTATTTCGCCCAAATAAAATTTCAGGAATAACTACGCGCTAAACCGAGCATTCATGCACTTTCTCATAACTTGGGCCAGTTTATTCATCAAGTCTGATCTTGTATTCAAGACTGCCTCGAGATCATCTTCAGATACTCCGTAGCCAGTGAAATGTTCCGTACAGCATCTTTAGATAAGTAAAAGAACAATGGAGATTAAAATTTCTAAACTCGCCATTTCAAGAATCTCTGGATTGTATTCATTGTCCTTTTTTTTTATGTAAAGCAACGACAAATTAATGATTCCATCTGTTAAAATGGTAGACTTTAATTGCTTGGTATCACGATTAAATTTCGGATAATTTATGTCCATTTCTATCGATGTGTCAAAGTTGACTTTAAATCTCGGTTTAGTTTATATTTTATTCTTTTCTCTTAGAACTGTAATCCAGAGTATTGGAAGTGAATATTAATCGAGATAACCGGGGTTTCGTCAAATCCTAAGACGATTTAGAGGAAAGTCCCCTATTGTGAGACAACAGGGTTTTTTGCTAAATTAATAGGCATCGTCTAATGGTTTTATCGTGAATTCATTGCTCTATGAGTGAAATCTGTTTAATGGAAAGCTCACTGTTAGATCGTGTAATCGTTGTGAATAAAGACTTGTGATTAAATTCGCATGAAAACCCGCTATCTCATATTAGAGGACTCTCCTCTACGCAACGCACGCACATCGCGCGCGCACGCAAAGCACACACACATACACACACCAAAAACCGGGAGACCTCCAGTGACTTCACGTGTCTCGTGCGTGATGCGAAATTTGTAGACGCATAATTGTACACGCACGACGGAAAAGATTGCAACAATCATGTTTTTTTTTCATGAATTTTGAAACATGGCCAAATCGCGAGAATCGACATTAATTCCAATCTAGCTTGATCTAATTGAAGCAGTTCCGTTTACGATAGGTTAGCTCGAACGAGGTTATCTCCCTCGAGTCGGTTGAGAAACGACTCGGTCCAATTGTCAAGCTGTAATTATGGCGGTATCTACTTTTATTCGTTGTGCACAATTTCGACGTTTGATCGGCATAAGCAGCAACGCTATCGCTTTATTTCCGAGTACCGGACGGTATTCGGTAAGTGACTGCAGTTTATTAACGAAGCCGTCGAGCCCGTTTACCCAGCGCAGTTTTTCTTCTCTTGATTATTCGCGAGTTATTCAATTACTGTATTAATTGTTTTGCGATTGCAGAAGCATATTGAATCGCGATCATATGTAACAGTTGTCGATGAAATTAAAGATTCGATCGAGTCCGAAACGAAGAAACCTGAGAAGAAAACAAGCAAAGCTATGCGAATGTACTTGCAACGTGCAAAGGAACACGGTAGAGTGACAGATCTATTCTTTTTGCATATACATTTTTCAACATACTGTTAACATAACAATGTTTCGTGTGCAACTCTAATTTTATTTTATAAATATATATATATATATCTTTGTTTTAATTTACCAGATGAATTTATGAAGAAAGAGGTCGTAGAATATCAGATAGGGAAGAGACACTTGGCTAACATGATGGGTGAAGATCCAGAATGTTTTACGCAAGCGGACGTAGATGTATGTAATTATATTTTTAAAAAAATCGTGCCAATTTGATATCCGAGTTAATATATTTCTCTAATGCCGTATAATTATTACTTTTAGAGATCAATCGAATATCTATTTCCATCGGGGCTGTTTGATCCGAGAGCTCGGCCGATGATGAAGCATCCAGAAAAGATTTTCCCAAGTAGGAAAGCAGCAGAATTCGATGAGACTGGGAGACCCTTCCACTCGATGTTTTACACCTCCAGACCGAATTATTATGAGACACTATACGTAAGTTGCCCGTAATGGCTGTCACAGATATAAATATATAAAGAAGAGCAATTGATATTTTTGAAAATTATTTTTATACACAGAATATTGTCGACACGATCAAGTCGCTGAATAATATCGAAGACTCGTTGATAAAGCAAGGGACATTACCTGTGGACAAAATGTATGTTATTTTATTTACATAGAATAAGTGCGTATATGTACACGCTTGATATATAATTTTAGAAATAACTTGCAAAAAATATCAAGCCCATACAGCACCAAAGCTTTCAGAAACATTTCAGAAAACATTGTTGCAATGTTTCTGAAATGTTTCTGAAAGCTTTGGTGCTGTATGGGAGTCTAATTATTTTAAATACGTCATATTTTTAGCGATCTGATAGGTTCGTCGTGGTTGTTGAAGCATGAGATTGAAGAACAATTGCTTGAAAGTATTTTTGATTTTGAGGTAAATAATATATTGGTAATAACTAGTCAGTGATCTCAAACGAAAAGAAAAAAAATTATAACGCACAAGTGTGTAATAATTCTTTCAGTACGACTACCTTATTACTTCGCTAGAACGACTGTGTGATCATCCATTGTCAAGTCGCGCAAAAGACTTTATTTTAAAATATCGTAGAAAGCTTGCTACCCATTCCACTGAGATAGTAATACCACCTGTAAGTCTCGATGTTTATATATAATAACGATGATGAGAGTATTGTTACAATTAACATAAAGATTTATTGTTGCATGTAAAGTTGGAACACGACAGTACAGGAAGACCATATATCACAGTTAAAAGTAAGTAAATTGAAAATTTCTCAACATTCTCAAATGGTTAGGAATGATAAAACTTATCATAAAATTCTTTGTAATTTTAGATTGCATGAGAAAGTCTGCAAGAGGTGAAGTGACAATTTGGGGTAATGGCTCTGGAAAGATTATCATTAATGGATGTGACATAACATATTTTGAAGAAACTTATCATCGCGAACAGGTGAGTTATTCTTTGCTCAAATCTTCGAAACAAAGCCAACATTAAAGAGCGAGAACAAGTGTCCATGGGCAAATGGCCCCATTGTTTTTCACATTCGATTTTAGTCACAAAGTAGGTACGAAAGGTCTCGTCAATAAGTTCCCAAAAATCACTAAATTCACCTAAAACTTACTTAGGTTCATAGCAAATACAGGACGATGTCATTAGCATCGACCATTGGGAAACCTTTTAGTCGACTTCAACTCGGTTTTGGAATTTTTGGAGTTCAATATCTCTGGAACGTTAAATAGATACAGTCTGAAACGGACATATCTGTAATCAGGTTTACGAGACCTTTCGTTTGGTACCTACTTTGTGACCAAAATCGAATGCGAAAAAAATGGAGTCGATCTTGTTTTCACTCTTTGTTAAAAGATATTTTCAACAAGTTGCCAGGCAAATCTCCTGAAATTGTATACATAATGCAGTTTGGCTGGAGATTATTTCCGTTATTTGTGTTAAAATAGGATGGAATGTATTGCATTCTAATTTGATATAGAAAAAGAAGTTACACGGGTGTTGTATAATAATACTGTAAGAATTTCTGTGATAATATTTATGAAAGAATCAAGATGACTAAAATATTTTATTTTTATTTAACGATATATTACATCGCGTAGCAAAGTGATTTAAATCTGTGAAAAAAAGAGAAATCTGTGATTATGTACTAATTTATTAACTTGTTAAGTATTTAAATGATAAAATAACTAGCTGCTATCTATCATTTTTATTGGAAATACAGAACGTATGTTAATGTGTAATAAAAACCTAATTAAAAAGAATTTAATAAAAATTGCTATTAAAATTCTTTAAAAATAGAAAAGTTGAATGAAATTATTTGTATAAATATCAATGTTATGCATTGCGCTATAATTATTAAATACTCCCTATAGTACATATGGGAGCATCTAATAATACAATCGTATGCGAGTTATTATATCATTATATGTATATTGCTGGTCAATTTTTGACATTTAGGTCAGAGAAATCGTTTAATCGTGTCTTGAGTCAACTGAGTTTATTGAACTTGCGAAATTTGATTAAAACACTTTGAGAGTTCGTCTCATGAAGACAACTAATTTTTCTCCGTTGTACAAAGGCATTAAACTTCGCTCCCTATTTTCGGCTTTTAATTTGTATTTAGATTTCAACTTTTTCAACTGCAATTTTCTCCTGATTTTTACTCAGGCAAATTGTCATGCAGTATTTCTTTAGTCATTAGATCGCATTATGATAATGGATGTCAACATGTTCCACTGCAGATGCAAACGTGTATCTAAACGCTTGGATGCAACGTGTTTATTTAAGAAATTCAAGTGTAGGAACCTTCACAATATAGTGCTAACAATAAGTGAGAGTTAATTTGCATTAAACACCGTTAATCCTAAATAAGAAGAATCGATTACAGCATTGTGAAAGAGGATGTGCATTTTTATGAGGTATCTTTTTGTGATGTGTATTGCGAAGAATGTGAAGCACGAAAAATATGTACGGTGTCCTTCATGGAAGACGACCTTTCCGTGCGCATTTCTGATAGCTGACCGGTCTCATCCGGTACATATTATACCCAAACCTCTTTCGCTAGTATAACCGGTACGATGGAGTTGGTCGTATGCTGCACACTCTCTCGCTCTCAGTGTGAACCGGTCTGGCGAAAGATCGAGGTGATGCGACCGAGACGATTATCAACGTTCGCCTCTGAGCCTAGTCTCGTGCCGTAAACGTGCAAGGTACTTCTTCGCTTTAGAACCATCTCTACCGTGATGCCGATCGCGCAAACTCGTCATATCGCCTAATACGTTCGCGAAAAAAAACTAAATCCAAGATTTGTCGCAAAACCAACCGAAACGTAGTTTATTGACTACGAACAGACGGCCATTCGCTTTTGATCTGATTGATATCAAGAGACTCGGTAGTGTCTCGCGCCACGTATGACGCACACATTTGACACAAAGGGCAGCACAAAGTTATGTTTACCTTCGTATAACTGGAACTTGTATTTATTTTCGTATTTAACTTCTGTTTATATTTTTTCCATCAGCTTTCATTAATTTTCGTACTTAAGATTCATTATATTTGATTTTTATTTGAATTTATCTTCAATAGATTTGCGTGTTTCTATATTTTTATATATTCGATCTCTACTTTTTTTTAGTATGGATATAATAGTGGGAATAATTGAATTTCTCAGAATTGTTTAGTGTCCAGTCACTCCATTAAAGTCTATTTTTAACTGCAAACTAATGGAATGTTGCAGAGAAGATTTATTATTTTTTATTATATCTATAAACTTCTTGTTATTTTTTTCTATCATTCACCGTAATGAGTCACTTTGTTCCATCATTATGTGATTTGTATGATATCAATCTAGATCTTTGTTTCTCAGAAATGGACCGTAATAATCGTTAATTCAATACGATAACAGGCTGTACCTTGATTATTTAACCGATTTTCCAATTAACTTCTACAAAAGTCACGCAATGTGTTTTGTAATGAATTTCGATGTTAAAGTGTACTGCCTTGAGTTATAATTTTTTTACATTGAAATAGAAAAATAAGAAGATGAGACATATTCCGAAATTCACATTTTATCTCTCGCTGTATCATTAAACTTTTAAAAAATATTAAAAAGACATTAACACATACGTATTTATTGAGACTATATTTATAATGTGTGATTCAATCTTTCGTATGAAAGTATTCGGGCTTTAGAAAATATCTAATTTAATCTTCAATTTTGTGATATTTATAGTCTTGAAAGATCGTAGATATTAAATGTTAAATACTTATTTATTTTGACGGGAAGAATATTTATAGTTCTAATATTATATTTTTTATAGACTTTTCATATTTTTTTCTTTTATCTCTGATAAGTTTGTAGAAAGAAAAAGTATCTTTAACTTGTCTTCTCATGCCTAATAAAATGGATACAATTTTTCGACTTTGTACTACTATGCTTCGACTAAATATTAAGACTTTAGGCTAGCGTTAAATAGGTGTATCACGTTTATAGGTAAATTGCTCTTAATACGGCAACAAGTGGAGATGGTAGATAATCCGAGCAACAAATTCGTATCGTTTTCGGGAGCGAAAGAGATGGAAGAAACCGAGGAAAAAGTATCAAAAATCGTCCCGACCATGTTGACACACACGAGCGCGGCTTCCTTGTTCCTAACTCGACTAAAGGCTAGACGCTCATCACCTAAGCAAGATGACAATGAGTCCGAAAGTGGTCGAGTTCATTTCGCATCGCCGCCGCTACCCGATAGCTCGATAAGTCCTATAGCTTCAATGGAAGATTACTGCGTCATCAGTGAACGTGTCTCTTCCGACGAACAGGCCTCTTCCGTCGACCGCACTTCCCTGCGCATCAACGAGGACTTTATCAAAAATATTCTCATGGAACACAGGAGGCGTATGAGCTACAAGTCACAAGTTTGGGAAAATCTGGAATCAAATAAAATAGGCGAGACAAATGAGGAGACGATCGTCGCGGACGCCAAGTCCAGTGAAGTCGACATCTTGTTGCTGCAAGCGTGTTTTACGAGTCGTACAAATCTCATACGTTGTCTGTGCAAACGGGGCGCCAATGTCAACTATATCGAGCCCGATCATGGCCTCACTCCGTTGCACTTGTGTGCGTTTCGGAATTGTCTGGATGGTGTCAAGTATTTGATGGAACAGGGCGCGAGCGTCGATACCGTGATGAAACACACGGCGTTTCACTATGCCGCCTTTGGAGATGCCTACGACGTTGCTCAATACTTTGTGCAACGAGGTGTCAGTCAGCTATCTCCGCACAACGGTGAAGAGACGGTCTTGCACGTGGCTTCACGAACCAATGCCCAGCGCGTACTTTCTCTACTCGCACCGAACAACAAGGAACTAGATCGTTTGGATCAGGACGGATACGCCGCTATTCATCATGCAGCCGACGGCGGAGACACAGTTTGTTTGGACATACTTTTGAAAGCCGGTTGCCAAGTGGATTTATTTACCGGAAAGAACGACACCGCTTTGCACCTGGCCGCGGAAGACGGTTGTGCGGACAACTTGGCTCTTCTGGTCGAAGCAAACGCTAATCTTCAACTGAAGAACCATCGAGGACACACGGCCTTGCACTTAGCTGCTCGCTCGCATTCTCTGGAATGCGTGGAGATTTTACTGAAAGGTCGCGCGGATCCCAACGTAGAGGACGACGAGGGTCGGACACCTCTGCACGTGGCTCTAGGCAAGTCTTTGATGACTGATGAAATCACCGAGCTCTTGCTCAAGTGGCGAGCGGACGTGAATAAGGCCGACAAATACGGCTATACGCCGCTGCACATCGCCGCCTCGAACGAATTGTCACGGTGCGTAAATCTGCTGATAAAGCACGAAGCGGATCTCAGCGCCAGGACCATCGGCGGCAACAGTGCCCTGTCCGTCGTTCTTCGTAAGACCCCGACGTCCTTGGACGTGCTCGAACGTAGGCTGGACACGTCTCTGAGCTTGAATCGACAGGGATTCATCGCAGGCGAGCTCGAGCTGCAGCTGGACTTCCGCCCGTTGTTGCAGCACCGGCGGAACCGGCGAAGTCGCTCGCCCGAGATCGGTTACCTGTACACCTTCGTGAAGGAGGGCTACAAGGAGATCCTGGAGCATCCTCTGTGCCAGTCCTTCCTCCATCTCAAGTGGCACAAGATCCGCAAGTACTATGCCGCCAGATTGCTGTTCTACTTGATGTACGTGTTGATCCTCACCAGCTGGGTGATAACCGCCCTCGCTCATAACTGTTACAACGAGTCAAAGGGTTACGTGCACAATCCGCCGTTATGCGCGAACGCGACCGGCGTCTATGGGTTTCTCTACAAACATCCTGCGGTACTCGAGATTCAGTGGTACACGTTGATGGTGCTCACCTTGCTCGAGGCTTGCCGCAAGTTTACCGTCATTCCCAATTACCGTTCGTTCAGGCAGTTCTTTATGCAGATGGAGAACCTGGTCGAGTGGTGCGTGATACTGAGCGTGTTCGCCACCTCTTTTGTGTACACGGGAAAAACGTACACCTGGCAAAGTCACTTGGGCGCCTTCGCTGTGCTCTGCGGTTGGAGCAATCTGATGCTGATGATCGGGCAGCTGCCGGTGTTCGGAGCTTACGTCGCTATGTTCACCAGCGTGCAGGCACAAGTGTTCAAGCTACTTTTGGCCTACGCCTGCCTTCTCGTGGGTTTTACGGCGAGCTTCTGCGTGATATTTCCACATTCCAAGTCCTTCGGCAGTCCGCACACGGGTCTCATCAAGGTCCTCGCGATGATGACCGGCGAATTAGGCTTCGAGGACCTCTTCTTCTCATCCGACAAGGGTGGTCTTTACGAAAATATTGGAGGAACTTCCTGGATCCTGCTACAAATCTCGGCCCAACTCTCCTTCGTGTTGTTTCTTCTATTCGTCACGATTGTGCTGATGAATCTGTTGATCGGCATAGCCGTGCATGATATCAAGGGCCTGCAAAAGACGGCAGGTCTCGCGAAACTCGTTCGCCAAACGAAACTGATCCACGACGTAGAGATTGCCATTTTTCTTGGATTTACACCGTCGAAACGCTTCGTCAAGTACATGCGATGGACCGCGCTATTCTTACCGTCACCTTTACGAGCCGTTTTGACTGTTCGTCCGCTAAACCCCAGAGAGAAGCGATTACCGCGCGAGGTTCTCTCGGCCGCCTACAAAATAGCCAAGGAAGGAGACGGACAGAACAACTTCGCCGTGTCGCGTAGAAAAACTTACAGCGCGGCCTATCTCGCGAAAGCGGGTCTCAAAGCTGACGTGACCGCGGCTCGTCGTCGTGGCCTCGACGACGATACGCTGCAACACGACTGCAACAAATTCAAAGACGATATCGCGGAACTTAAGGAGATTTGCGAGAAAAATCATACACTCCTTCGAGAGCTTATAAAAGCGCACAGTGGTAAAATAAATAAATAGATGTGTAGGAAGGAGCAAGTGCCAATGTGAGCCACAAAATTAATGGAACTCCGGTTCTCACAATTTAGAATCTAAATTTCTCTTTAATAGCAAACGTTACGACCCTTCTTCGGGTCTTTCTCAGTAAAAACTCTATGTCTGGGCGCACCGATTCCCTAAAATATTGCCTTATGCTTTATTCGGTCTAAACGAGTTTTTACTGAGCAAGACCCGAAGAAGGATCGAAACGTTTGTTATTAAAGAGAAATTTTGATTCTAAATTGCGAGAACTGAGTTCCGTTCATTTTGTGGCTCATATTGGCGCTTTCTCCTTTCTACACATTTTCTTTTTGGGAGCCTTTACAACACTTTGGTAAATAAATTAAATTGCCAGTAACAAGACAAGTTGGAAATCCCTTTGAGTTGGAAAAGAATTTACAACCGTTCAAGATTTGAAATTCGATTATGGGGCAACGATAAAATATTCTAAAAGCTTGAAATTCGCGGAACGTGGCGTCGAATACTTCATGAATAATTAAAATATCGCGAATTAATTATCCTTCTGAGCGTTTTATATCCTCCAGCAAACACCCGCTGTCTAAATCGCGCTCGTAAGATCGATTTATTTCTGTGATACACATGTGGTTGTGCCCAGTGTCAGTCATATTTAATTCCGTCCATTTTATGTATGAATTTGATTTAAAAAAAGCACTAGCGGCTTGCGTAATTTTATGCATATAATTAATGCTGTGTTTCAATAAATCTTGACGCAGTAACTGCACGAAATATTCCTTTAGAAAGACTTAATTTACTTTACTCTTCTAAAATACATATATGTATTTGTTCAACTATAAACGTTTAGTATGTATTTAGTATCTAAAGTAACGTGGATTTCGTGACGCGGATACAAAATTACGTATATTGATGAGACCTTAGAGAAAATAGGACAGTTCGTTTCTACTTTTTCTAAACATTCTTTCACACTTGTAAAAGTTTTTATAAAATATTTCGGCTTGTCAGAAAAGTTTCTAAAAAGTTTATATATATATATGTAAGTTTTATATGTAATTCAGGTATGTTTATGTATAATTATTTTCAGTTTAATGCAATCTGATTTGCGACGTCACGTCTAATTGCTTTTCACTAGTATATTTTTAATAATCTTCCTTACTCTTAATTTTTTATTATTAAGTTCTAATAAAAAGAATTTTGTAAGTATTGTTTTTTGTTTTTTCTTTAGACTATTACATTTACTATTACGTTATTTGAATCTTAGTAAATGTACCTGTACACATTATGGTTGCGAACTTTCTACCAAGATGTATCGTTAAACGTACGAATAAATAAATTTTTATATCGACATCAAGTTTAGCAGGAAAGTTGTAAACTTGTCTTTTGCTAATCAAGTTTCATTTTGAAATTTTCAACAAAGTCAAAGTATACATATATAATATTAACAGTACGCGCGTAGGCTGACAAAACCGGTTCTGATCTGCATAAGTACTCGTCCGTTGAAAGTTCAACTGTCATAATAGAAAACTCGGTAACGAGATAAAACCCGGACGATGAGTTATTGATCTACCTGTTAAAGAGAATTTAGTGGGTTAAAATTTTAGAGGCCCCGTACTTTCGACTTTGTACTTTGTTATCTCACACACAAAATTGGCGATATCTCGCCGTATTCATCTGTCAGACAATTTGGTGCCTTTCAATTCTTCGAATCGGTTAGCTGAGAAACAGATAAAAAATTATGATAAAAAAGCCATTATATATTCTACCGCATTATGGAACTACTAAAGTTTCCACTCGTAGCCCAAATAAAATTGCCGCAAGGCAAAACTGTTTCGTGTCTTGAATTCGACTGTTCGAAACTGCTTTTTTCTTTCTTTTTGTTTTCTTTTATTAGAGTGAGTACGAAATTGCACGAAATTCATTTTACTCATTTCTTGCGCAATGTTGCATTTGTGTATTTTACGTATCAACAATTGATAGGCAGCTAGCAACTCGAGGATGTCTCTTGGCAGAGATCTTGTAAATGTACTTAAAATGAATACAAAATTAAAAATTACGTAAATCGTGATATCATATTTACGATCACGTGACGGTGAAAGGAGTTTGCCTAGATATACGCAGTACAGATTCGGGAAGCTATAAGAAAAAAGATAAAACAATAAAAGAATCAAGTATTAGAAGAGCAACAGACGTACGAACAGAATTAAACAGAAAGGAACAACGAATGACGATCGATTTATTTCCATCGATTCACTTAGTTGTCTTATTACTTTTGAGACGCTAAATAATAAACAAGCTTATAATTTAAAATCATGTTTATTATAAAAATTAATATGCTTAAAATGTAATTTTATACTGTCCCTATAGATATTAGTAATCTGTAATTTAAATAACTCTTTTTGTTTCTCTATGGCCTTTACTCTGGAAAAATTCCATTTCTTTTAGCAAGTGGAACACTTCAGTTTGATAAAAATATTTTTTCTCCTTTCTTGTCTCTCCGGTCAACCTTCATCCATCGATTTTCAACAAGAAGAAAACGATTTATCGTTACATCTGATTAAGAACGCAAATATCTGTGTTTAATGATATTTTTTTAACGATAACAATGTAAATACCAGTGTCCTAGAATAAAACTCGACTAATCTTTCGCCGATATTTTCCAGTCTCATCTAGATCAATCCGGAATTTAACCGAAGGGCAGCTCGTGTACGCAAGGGTGTGCGTAAAATAGTCCTCGAGTTGGACCCACATATTTTATTTTTATGTATTTTGTTAATCACGCGTCTTGCCCCTCTGCTCGCAGATTCCTCTTCCCACGCGAAGGCGTATCCAGAGGCGTATGCAGAGTACGTCATGCAGTACGTGTAGTGCGATCGTACAAAGCAGTCCGCTGTAATGCTCGTAGAATTGCCAAGTGTACTGTCAATGATAGACATCTTGAGCTGACATAATTTTTACGATTAGAAAATGCGGCCGAAATCCTTGTCGGGTCGCTTTTGCATTCCAGAGTCGAAAACTCGGGGTTTCCTCGACCAGTCTCTAGGCTCTTATAAATACGTGTCTCAAAAAGTGGGAGCGTTAAACGAGAGGACGAAGTGACGACCGTACGAAGCCGGTAACCAGAAGAACGGAAGAGTGTCAGAGTGAAACTTATAAAATCATCGTGCTGCTTGTATTACTTGAGATCTTTACGCCGCGACAGATGGATATTCGATGACACGCCTTCGGTAGGAATATCAACATTGAACCTCTCAGAGGAGCGCGTGAAGAAGTACTAATGCACGAGGAATAGCAGTAACGGCGCAAATTAAAAAGCAGGTGACAAAATTGCTAATGTATATGCGATAAACGTGAAAGCACACTCGGTGATATCGTATTTTATTGATGAAAAGGGATAAATGTACATTTGACGAGTATAACAGAGACTCGGTAACAAGAGCTTTAGAAGAGAGCGATCTTTATTCATCTCTATTCTTGTCTGCGTGTCACATAAATCAAGACGATATCATCAATCAGAAGATGTCCGGATGACTGCAAGTCATGATTAAATCAGAGCAGCTTGGATACAAGGCACTCGGTCAAAGCCGTGGGACAGCGATAATCCTCTTTTGAATTGACCTAAACAAAAAGACTCGTTGGCATGACGTGATTGCCGAAGAAAGGAACGAGAGAGAAAAGGAGCGAAGAGACACACACACACAGTGACGTGACTGCAATAATTAAGATGCTTCATTGCGCCAATCGTCGCATAACGGTACGAATACTTAATGCCTAATTACGAAACGACGCTTGCAACTCAAACGTTGTACAACATAACATACTAGCTGAAGTAATTATGATATAATTATAATATGAAAAGGCCACGTGGAGTAATAAAAAACGACAAGATTATTATAATTGCAAATGGTACGACGAGATAAAGTATGCAATACGAGTTTTTTTTGCGCGCGAGAATGTGGAAAACCTGAGGTGACAGAAGTAGTAACAACGATGAGAACTTTGAGATTGGAAATAGTTCAAGCGAGATAAAACTAGATAACGAACGTGAACTTTGGAAAAGATACGAAATTAAACGATAAACTTATTCTCAATTGTGAATAAGTTTTAATTGGAGCGAATATGTGTGAGAGTGATCGAGGCTCGTTAGGGGAGAGTGCTAAAGGGGTGGACCTCGAGATGAACGGTCCGAAGATACCGACTAGTTTAAACGCCGGCGTACAACAGTTTTATTCCACCAGAAGCTTCAACAGTCGTCACAAACGCGAGCCGCTGTCCGTGAGATTAGCCTCCACTTACAGGTCACTAAGATGCCCGTGCACAACAGATGATCATCCGCAAAAAATCACGATCGATAATGCAACCTTATCGAAGTTTGATAACGAGCGAATTGAGATCGACGCCGGTGAGCCACCACCGGTCGACGACTCCCTCTTCTTCGACAATCTGGAGTGCTGCCAGAACCACTACGTAAACGGTGCGAAATTGAGATCGGCTATATGGTCCATCGTCGACTCGAGAGAGACGAGGCTGCTACTGCAGATGGAGAAGAATCGCAAGCTTCCGGATGCCTGCAAGAACGAGAGACTACGGAATGTCGCTTACATCTGGGCGTGCTATCGCGGTCTGCTGCATCATCTGCCGGAACTGGAGAACGCCGGAGCGCGTTACGACTACGTCGAACCGCGGACCGGCGTCAATGCCATTCTCGCGGCTTCGTTGGGCGACAAAGTCGCCTGCGTGGAGTATTTAATCGCGAAGGGCGCCGACGTGAATTATGAGAGCCTCATCACACGTTACACGCCGCTTCACTTCGCGGCGCTCGGTAATAGCTGGCATGCCGCGGCCACGTTACTGGATCACGGCGCCAAGCTAAATTACGTCTGCCAGGAAGTGGTCGAGCCTATTCTGCACAGTGCCGTCCGCGCGAAGGCGGTGGAGACGGTGAAGCTGCTGCTCGAGCGCGGTGCCAGCGTCGTCGAGAAGAATCATCTGGGCCAGACGCCGTTACACGTGGCCTGTTTCGTGCAATCGGCACCGTGCGTCGAGCTGCTGTCGGCCAGCGCGCCCAACGTGAACGCCGTAGACAGGGAGCACAGAACGCCCCTGCACTTCGCCGTGATGAGCACGGACTCGTCCGCCGAGTTGGTACAGCTGTTGTTGAAACGCGGCGCCTTGGCGAACGCGGTCGATCGAACCGGCTTCACGCCCCTTCACATCGCCGCGCTGAACGAGCAGTCCCGGTGCGTGGACGCGCTCATCTGGGCGGGCGCCGACATCAGCGCGACCACGTGCACCGGACTGTCCGCCCTCAACATTATACTGAAGAAGATCCCCGAGTCCCTGCACGTGTTCCGGCAGCGTTTGGACGCCTCCATCAGACTGACCAGACCGGTGTCGCATAATCGCGAATTCGAGATGCGACTGCACTTCGACATTCTCTTCCCCAGCGGTAATCAGTGCGAGACCAGCTTCATAAACACCTTCGTGCAGGAGCACCGCAAGGACCTGTTGTCGCATCCGCTGGTCATGGCCTTTCTGCATCTCAAGTGGGAGAAGATTCGCAAGCTGTACCTGCTGAGGATACTCTTGTACGCTATGACCGTGATATGCATGACCACCTACGTGCTCACTGCGTTAGCGTATAAATGTTACAATCACAACGAAACTAATAGTTCCAAGATTTGCGGCAACAGACGAGTGTCTGGCTTTCTCTTCCGGAAACCGGTCATCGAGATCGAATGGTACCTCGCGCTGGTCCTCACGTGCATCACCATACCGAGAAAGATATTTGGCTTTATGGTGTACAAATCGGCGATACAGTACTTCTCCAGTATCGACAACGTGCTGGACGGTGTGGTGATCGTGAGCGTATTCGTTACGTCCTTCGTGTACACCGGGCGTACTTACGATTGGCAAAATTACGTCGGTGCGTTCGCCATCCTTTGCGCCTGGACCAACCTGATGCTGATGGTGGGCCAGTTACCGGCTTTCGGCACCTACGTCGCCATGTTCACGCACATCCAGTTCGAGTTCGCCAAGCTCCTGCTAGCGTATTCCGGCCTACTGATCGGCTTCACCATCAGCTTCTGCGTGATATTCGCCAGCGAGCCCGCGTTCGGTAATCCTTTCACCGGGCTAATCAAAGTCCTGGCTATGATGGCTGGTGAATTGGACTTCGAGGGACTCCTCAATCAGATGGACGAATCGACGGGCAGCTCCTTCGTCATTTATCACCCCCTGTCGGTGTGTTCGCAGATTCTCTTCACGCTGTTCATAGTATTCGTCACTGTAATTCTGATGAACCTGCTGGTCGGTATTGCCGTACACGATATACAAGGTCTGAGGAATCACGCAGGGCTCACCAAGCTAGTGAGGCAGACGAAAATGATCCTCTTCACGGAAATGGTGCTGCACAACACTACGATCCCGTACGCTTTCCGGAAGTGGATGTCGGATCACAAGATCGACGTTGAAAATAGAAAACGGGTCCTCGTGGTAAAACCGCTCAATCTCCTCGAGAAGCGATTGCCGAAGGATATAATGAAAGCCGCTTACGAGATAGCACAGAAGAATATTCCCACGTCTATGAACGACGACATCAATTTGAGCGATCACGCTGTTTGGCTGAAGCAACGACAAAACGGACTCTCCGATGTTACCCTACAAATGACGTTCGAAAAACTGATCGCTATGATGAAAGTGAACGAAGACGCTATAAAATTGCTCAGAGCACAGTTGCTAGAGATGAACAAGATGTTGGAAAATGTCGCAACAACGTTGACGAAAGAAGAACATACCTCGTTATGATTCGCACAATTTTATATCGGTACGATCCGATGTTTCAATCCGCAATTTGCATTATGTGATTCATATTCTATTTTCTTCCGTTACAAATGTATCCCCAGTAAAAGACAACTGCGTATTTATAGCTGAGATTTCCATGATTAAAGGAATCTTTTTTTTTCAATTTGATCTTTCCGAGAAAACTATCAACTTCTCAAAGAAGTCTCGAAATATCTAAATCGGCTTTTCCAATCTCTACTTTAAGCAATTGCCCATCTCTCTTTAGAGATAGTAATCACAAGATCGTCTCTCATGCTTGTATATGTTATCTGTTACAGGTTATATTTCCATTACTTTTTACGAACATGAGTGATAAAGTAGACATCGAAGCTACAGTTAACTTGGGGGGGCCTAATGGTCAGTCGGGTGCTATACGTTGGGGTATCGCATGGGGCTTACGTAGCTTTGTTGACAAACCAATGGTCGAAAGAATGCGAGTTGGTAAGGAACAATCGATTTGGTACAATATCATCATATAAAATATGATACATAGTTTACGAACTGTTTAGTAACGCGAATTGAAAATTATATGCTGTATCAAATAATTAAAAAATTACTGTTATTTTCAAACAGCCGGGCTGCTAACGAGGGACTGGAGAAGACGTGAGAGAAAAAAGTGGGGTCAAGAAGGTGCCAGAAGGAAGTTTTCTTGGAACAAACGTTAATTTTACTCATTATCGTGTAATTTTCACATTGCATATGATAAAACGGCGCTATAGAGAATCGAATACATCATTGTACAATAAAACTGTCTTAGAAAATTAAACTAGTTGTCTGACATCAAATAAGAAAAGTAGATGCACAGTTTTTTTTTTACCAAAGTCTCATCAAGATTAGCAGATCAATATGATAAAATTCGACAAATTGCCTTCACATCTCTTCCAGAGGTGTTAGACCAAGTAATTTCATACCTTGCGCAAGAACATTTCTAGCAGCGAGAAACAACAGCAATCTTTGACTAGCAACGTCAGGCAATTCATCCTTTATTCTCAACGAATTGAAAGCTATGTTAATTGCTTTACTAAACAAGAAAGAGAAATTGTACTTGAGTTAGACAATTGTGGAAAATGTCTTGGAGAGTCTTGGAATTTATATCTTACCTTAAATGGAAAAGATACGTTGTTAATATACAGGGTTCTATTTCTTCGTACGATTTCAGTACTACTTCTTCGAACCTGGCAATTAATATGACTAAATCATCGACGACTTCTTCTTGTAATAGACTTGGCTCACATTGCAAAGTTAGGACAGCGCCGCAGTTGCGCTCCAAACTAACTAGTCGACAATGTGTATACTGCAGCTTCACGCCAGTGTCCCCTTTCAACTGGTCTTACGAAAAAAAAATATTAAGAGAAACTATTTAACACGTGGCATAAGATTCGATAATACTTCCACGATAACATAAAGATCACTTACATCGAATGCTGCGTTCCAATCGAACGTATAGTCTCGTTGTCGTTTTCTCTTCAAGTCATGAACTATCACTGCAGAAATGCCCAATATATCCGAGCTCTTATCAGATAAATCTAGTCGAGTTTTAGTGGCTAAAAATGTTTCTCAATTACAACTAGTCTATAAAGTTAGATGTTACATATCAGAATATTGTTAAAATTAACATACTTGGCGAATCAATTTGCTTCTGTCTCATGACATCTCTGGAAATGTCCAAGATATCTTCCAAAAAGACCATATTACCCTTTCTCGTGCGCATACCGTGCAATCGGCCAAATTTTACGTGCTTCAGTCTTTCAGCCCACGGCATCTGCATTCGTTTCAATATTTCTAGCAAATTTGAGAAATGACTGGCTTGTGTATTATCCACCACATAGTACATACTGTCAAAGTTATTCTTTTCAAATCTGTCGATAGCCGCGGCGATGTCTCTAGCTAAATACAAAGTGGAGCCATCGCTCTTGATTATAGGAACGCTTTTCTCATTGTCCAAATTCACCACTTTTCGATTCTCTTCGTCCCTTATCAGTAACTGCATCCTTTCCATCAACGTAACGAGTTCCTCTATATTTTTCGCATTGTACATAGATTCCCAATGATATTCATCGAATGTAATACCAATTCTACTATAAACCCTTGTTAATTCCTCGACAGTGTACTGTTTAAACGCTTTCCACTGTTCATACGCGACTCCTCTACCATTCTCCAAATCGTTAAATATTTTTCTCGCGCGATCCAATATCGAGGAATCGGTCTCAGCCAGTTTATTGGCAGTAACGTATGCCGTGTACAAGGCTTTCATAGGATTTTTTCTCATCTCGTCTTCACCAATATTTGCCATGTCGATTCCCAATTGAACCAAACCATATTGCGTACCCCAGTCGCCCAAGTAGTTTATTCGTTTCACATTATTTTTTACAAAGCTGTTGATGTTAGCAACGTAATTTCCTATTATTGTAGACCTCAAGTGACCTACGTGAAAAGGTTTTGCAATATTGGGCGAACTGAATTCTACTATTACATTTTGTTTATTATTCACGAAACTTGGAGCCAATACTGTTGAACAGTTATGTTCCAAAACTTCTTTGACACATCTATCTCTGGAAACATTGAACGAGATTGTATCATTTTCTATATTAATGTTGTCAAAGATATCAGTTCGATCATTATTTATAATATTCTGTACTTCATTCTGAACATTGTATTGCCTAGTTTTTAATGGCAATAGAAAAGAATAGATTCCTTCGGTCTTGTGTGTTTTCAAATGCAAGCAAGACGCAACGCTAGATATGTTTACATTGTTAGTGTTTTGTAAAGACTCTGTAATCTGAAAAATATGTAATTAGGCAAATGATAAAAAATGAGTCTCAAATAACTTCAATACGCATCTTGTGGAGAAAAATACCTTCTTCAAAATTGCAAATTTTATACTATTGCTCATGTTTTATTTAATATTAGAACAGAGTGGACAATTATCTGTTTGGTGTGTATAGATTATATATACATATATCTTCAAATGTGAAAGTTGACATTAGGTTATAAACGAACAAACTTTCATAGTAATATAACCCAAACTGATAACGGTATTAGACTGTCTAAAAATTTGACTTTTTATGTGCAAGTATTAAATAACAAAACGAAAAATATTCCAACTAGAGTCATAGGTTAGAATTGATAATCACATGAACCGCCGTTGAATATAGAAAGGATAGAAAGTAAACTATTCTAAAATAATATTACTGACAGATGTCGCTAGTGTGGTTAGAAATGTAACTAGAATGATGAAGGGTTGGCAGCTTTTGTTTTATCATTTTTAAGCCCAATGCACATAAATCGACATAAAAACACACACGTAGAAGGAACGAAATTCGATATCAATAAAATTAATGTTTATTATATAATTACTGTTGATTGTCGGACATATTAAAATATTAAATTCTTCCAGATAAAAATTTAATATAATCGTTTACTGATAAACTATCAATCAGAGCGAACATGCGAGAGTAAGATAAATTATCAATATTATTTGCGAAATATCTAACGTATTAATAATAAAGCTGCAATTTCTTGAAATTATATTAACAATTTTATTTTCTAGAATACTACAATACAATCCTTGCGGCGAATAAATTGATTAGGCGAGGATACAGTTCCTAGCAATAATTGTCTTAATAAATTAAAGAATTACTATTTACTTGTATCACTTGGAGTATCACTTATTCTTATATATTTTAACTGTAAAGTATAAGAAATTGAATTTATTAACATAATGTCGATTACACTTCCATGTATGCACCGTTATTACCCATGTCATTTCAACATAAGCAATAACATATATTAATTAAAGCCACTGTTTGTTCACAATTAAAATAAATACATACTGACGTGTATAATGATAACATTAAAATTTTATTGACCGTATCTGGCAATTAAAATTCTTATTGCGAAAAATATTACCCCAACCAGGACTCGAACCTGGGACCTCCTTCAATCCGTGACGGGCGTCTTACCTTTAATTTTAATTGCCAGATACGGTCAATAAAAATCATTGATGTTGTTAATTACTGCTGGCGACTTTTAAGAGTATTCTTAATAATAAAATTTTATTTATAATAATATATATGTATTAATCATCTTGATATATGTATGTATATAATTAAGAACGACTGTTCATATATTATTTCCACGCTGTAGAAACGTTATAGCTACAAGTCTCAAATCTATATTATGTCAATAATTCGTACAAAGACCTATTATGGTACTAATCCAAGGAATTAATTATTCTAATATACTGTTATGTAAAAAAATAATGTAAAAAAAGAAGAAATACCATTTATGTGCAGACATAAAACACACTCGCTTTGTATACGATCTCAAACCTCGTGATCGATTAAATACGCGTCCTTTCTGAAAGAGTAACGCGGTGGATTGTGACAAGGGAGCAGCCAAAATATCGGATGGCTCTTTCCACATACTTGAGACAGAAGCGTAAACATTCGTGGCGTATTCTTATTGTGGTAACGCTGTTGTACACCTTGTACGCGCTCCACGGCGGTCTCGTCGCCTAGAATCGCTTGGAACTGATCAACTAGAATCGCTATGACGAACATACCAAACAGTGCTGACTCCAAAACTAATATCACACAGTGTAAACTGCAAAACATGTCAATATTAGTGTTCCAGTCGTCGTGAGTTCTTTTTTTCTTCGTAAGGGCGCAAGTACGTACATGCGATTTTGTTTGACCGCAATATCGTTATTGCACTGTGGGCAGTCGTAGATCCAGGATGTAATGACTAAAATAATAGCATAGATGGCTAACGCACCAACGTACACCAGAAATTGTATGAAGTACTTTTGATTCCTCTCGCCGACGCAGTTGTTGATCCTTAAACATTCAGTCGCAGGTCTTTAGCAAGTCCGAAATTATTTTGCACGTTTGTCGTTTCTTATAGAAATCGCAAAAAAAAGAACTGGTTATTCTATTGATACAAGTCATTGTGATTTGTCACAACTCGTAGTTACCATGGACAGTGATGATCCATTCTTCTGATACAACGTTTACAAATTCTGCAATGGTGCGCTCTAGGCGGCCTGTACGTTTCGCACCTAGTGCACACCGTCCAATCGTCCTTCTCGTCGCTCTCGTGGTCATCGCTTCCCCCAGAGACGTGAATGTCGGAAAAGTCCATTCTACTTTGCGGCAAGGGTACTATACCAGGATCACTGCAGACGGCTTTCAAATGTGCCATCATTAGAAGAAGTACAACAGTGTTAAACGCTATTATATGGAAGGGGCACCATAGGCTGAGAACAAAAGAAAGTAATGTTGCTGAAACGATTCCTCGTGGGCAATAACAAGAAATGAAGGAGGCATCTACAAAAGAGGTACGAGACATGACGTAGGGTGGACGAGGGAGAAATTTGACGAGGTCCGCGAGCGTTTGTACTAATAATTGTTGTCAACAAGAAACATTCGTCGTGCCAACCTGTCTTGCATAGTGTGCAACACGATCCATCGTACCACAACGTAGTCAGCGTAGAACACTGCCACGTAGGTGACGATAATGCATACAATGCCACAGGGATCTCGGACGAACATCTTTCGCTCTCGCTGACGGCACGCGGCGATTAATATCGCAGTTCCTCATTACTGTGCGCGCAAATGTCATGTCATCTGCATACGGGACGGCCGCATTATTCAATCTTTCGGGGTTGATTCGGCCAGCCAGGTATCCGTCGCGGCGTCGATCGACAGGCTAACGCATAATCCGTCGATGCAGGACCGTCGCGTCGACGACGCCCGACGAGAGCCCGACAGAAAGCGAGGCACGGCAGCCTTGGCTGTTTAGAGGGAAGTGAAATTGACAGGCGGACTGAAAGTGGAGGACAATCTGTCAAACGGTACCGCTGACAGCGGCGCGGCGACAGGACTGTGACACTCGGCTGGGAATTCAACTGATTCTATAGGGACGCACAATTGTGGCGCGACTTGTCCTAGGAATTGCCAGAGCCAATCAGAGGGAAGAAAGCTGGCTATTTCGCGCTCGTCCAATTTTCCTTCTTCAGTTTTTCAAATATTCTTGTAGATATCTCAACGTTCACACAGTCCGCTAATGGGAGATTCAAGCTGGCTATCTTCTTCTTCGTTTTCTTTTTAATAATGAAACAACTGCCGAATGACAGTGTAATCCGTGCCATTCCCGTAGAGAGAAAACTTAAAAAAAAAAGGAGAGAACGCTTTGAAGCATTTACAGCACAAGTAGACCGTAGCCAATGGCTGCGTTCCACAGAAAAATTGCTTTAAAACAGTTATAAAGGCTTGTGTCCAATTCACCCACACTTGACCAGAAAAGAACGTATTTTTAAATAATTTGTATTTGCAATCGTATGTATCTCATATGAAGACGTTTGAAGTGCAATTGAAAATTTTTGCGAGATAAAAAAACCGTCAGCCGGGATTGGCTGACTCCCCTCCCTCTGACCACGCCCCCCCCTGACTACCCCTCCCTTCCCCCCAAGAACGAGTATAAAAGGACGAGCGCAACGCGAGTTACGCGAGGGAGGCAGGGAGCTCAGTATCA